AATTTGCTAGCTTGTATGTAGTAAAACTTGCATATCGTAAAAGCTGCTAGCTTGTAGAGAAGCAAAGAATTGCTATCTCAAAAGAAGCAAAAAATGCAAAACTTAGAAAACTTGCAATATAATTGCTCTTGTCATGCTTTGTATCAAAAATAGGTTGATATCCTTAAAAGCATCGCATTAAATTTTTTAGTATCACAATGTATCACATGTATCGTAAATTGAAATTTTTGAGACTATTATCATATCATGTTTAACAATTGATGCCTTTCATGACATGATTTCTTTGCATTTTTGTCTTGTATATATCATGTGATGATTGAAATATTGATTGATGCAAATTCATAATTTATGTAAAAGTCTAAATCATTGGTTCCTCTCCTTCTTTTCGGCAATGATATAGGGGAGAAAGATTGCTAGCTCAAGACAAATGTTGGCTAGCTTGTACTCTTCCATTCTTTTCAACAAAAACAAAGGGGAGAAAACTTTTGCTAGTTAGAACATGCAAAGAAAAGCAAAGTGCAATCTTGCACAAGAAGCAATTGTTGAATTGCCATGATTGAATTTAAGAATCTTACTATGCTTTTGTGCTTATATGTTATGATGAAAATCTAGCTTCATGTTGCAAAAACTTGCATATCTTTTAAAATAGCTAGAGCTACTTCTCCTTTTTGTTGATGACATAGGGGGAGAAGTATATTGCTGACTTCATGCATTGAATTGAATATTTTATATATATTTGCATGATGGTTTAAATGTTTTTTATAACATATGATGAATGTTACTTGGATTTGAGATAATCCAAGTGTTCTATCAATGACATATTGATATGGGGAGTTTGGTTAAACTCCGGAGAGTTAAGGTTAACTCCGTTAGTCATAAATTAGTTGTCAACATCAAAAAGGGGGAAATTGTTGAATCTCGGATTTTGATGATGAAACTAATTGATTGTGTTTAGATGTTTAACTGCATTTTGAGTGATGCAGGTCTACTCGATCAGGTTTAGACAGTTAACGCAGGAGGAATTGACGTTGCGTCGGAGGAGATCACGTTAGGATATTGGATGGCAGAAGGCTTCGGACGTCGGGCATCGGGCCAAGAGCGGAATTGCGCCAAGGATATCGGGGTTGCGGAGGTCAACCACCGATTGGGCAATAAGCTGCAAGAGAGGACGATGCGTCGAAGAATCGGACGAAGCGCCAACCAATGACATGTCGGGCAACAGAATGTCAATTCGCTTTGTAATAATTGTCTAGATCGGAGTAGAGTTTTGGCTTGTGTGTGCAGGATTAACTACGATAACGACTGATAGGGGTAAAAATAAATTGGACGTAACACACCGGATTCGACGTAAGACCCCCCGACGTCAGCCACCCCTGGACGGCACACTGCACCAGGGGGCGAGCATTAACACCAACATAATGTGCACCCTCGCTCACCGTACCCAGACGACCTCGTCATCTGACCCCGCACGACCGGACGAGGCAGGGGAAGGCGTCGACCAAGGCTCGCCATACCCTGCGATGACTCGGCCTTTCACGCAACGCCCACAATGACAACGGACGCGATCAGGTGTACGACCCTGTCCCGACAGGATGGCGCATCAGGTAACATCGAACTCACCTATAAATACCCTTGGGCTCCAAGCGAGCAGGGTAAGCACACAAAGGCACGATTTCACCCAAAACTCCCCTCTTCATCACTAACTTGATCGTTGGAGGGGTCGGGCCGAACCGCCGACCCGACCTGTGTGCAGGTACTCGACAGAAGCCGATCCAACCCGGCGACGCGAAGCATTCCAGCCAGATCCCCCGTAATCAACCGCCCCAAGATCCCGAGAGGAGCCTCGCCTGATCCTAGCCGTTCGGACCCCTGAACCAGCCGCGTCGACCCCAAGGTCACGGCTAAAAAAGTTACTTACCATAACAGATTGGCGCTAGAAGGAGGGCCTCCGAATGTCAAGCGATCAGCGAATCCACTTTGGCGAGCCCTCGGTCGTCGGGCTCCCCACCCCGGGGGAACACCCCCCGCATGATGAAACCCGTGACGAACGCCCCGCAGCGGCGTCAGAACGTTACTGGCAATTGTTCAATGACCCAGGCTTGTCACCTCCCAACGGTGTACCCGCTGGCTCATCACTGGTACCTCCCGAGGCCTTTCACGACCTCGCTCATCAAGTCCGAGCCCTGACGAGCATGGTACAGACCATCATCCCGATCGTCTCCCAGCGGACCCCTCCGCATACGGCTCGACCTTCGCAACAACAGGAAACCCTCGTCCACCCTCACGTACCCCTCCCCGGGCTCCCTGGCTCGCCTCAAAACCCGACGACTCGGCCCGGGAGCCGGGAGGCGGAAGACACGGCGAGCCGTCCCGAACGCGAGGCTCCGTCTGCCGACTCTACAAATGCCCTACGAGCTCAGTTGCGCCTCGTCAGTCAAAGACTCAACGAGGTGCAATAGGAAGTCCGTAAGTCGAAAGGAGAGCTCGGGGTAGACGAATAGCAAGGGTCCCCGTTCATCCCGGAGATCCAAGATCAGGCGATCCCATCACACTTTCGCCTCCCCTCGCTGGACGCATATGACGGCGCTGCTGACCCAGCGGACCATGTGGCCGCTTTTCGCGCCCAAATGGCATTATACGGGACTTCCGACGCCTTGATGTGCAGGGCGTTCCCAACAACTCTGCGGGGGCCAGCCCGCGCGTGGTACAGCGGTCTGAAGGCCGGGACCATCGCTTCCTTCGACCAACTCGCCAAAGATTTCGAGCTTAGCTTCCTGACTTACGCTCGACCAAAGCCGTCATTGGCATTGCTCCTCGGACTCAACCAAAGGGAGGACGAGCCCCTCTCCCATTTTGTGAACCGCTTTATGACGTAAATTCGTGGGCTGTCAGATGCTCACCCCTCTCTATTGATGCAGGCATTCATGACAGGCCTGCAGCCTTCCCGGTTCTTCTGGTCTCTCGTAGAGCGACCCCCCGTCGCGGTCCCCGAAATGATTCAGCGTGCTGGCCAATTCATCGCCGCGGAGACATGGATGGCTGGGAAGCGGGAGGAGCACAAAAAAGTCAAGTCGAAGCCACCCCGACAGCAACAACCCGCCGCGTCCCGTCGCAAGTTGGATAGATCCGACCCAAGGCCTCCTCTCCCCGCCTTGAATTCTTCACGGACGGAAATATTTCTCCATGAGAAGGGGAAGGGACTACTCAAGGAGCCCCACCCAATGAGGAGCCCGCAAGAGCTCACGGACCGTTCAAAGTACTGTCGCTTCCATCGGCAACATGGGCACGACACTGAACAATGCCGTGAGCTAAAAAGGCAAATCGAGGAGCTCATCCGCCGAGGGCATGTCGGCCACTACCTTCTGCCGGACAAAGAGCTATCACCTCGCCCGGAGGGCCCCGTCGAGAGACACATCGACGTAATCGCTGGCGGCCCCGCATCCGGGGGGGGCTCCATGTCGGGAAGAAAGGTGTACGCCCGAGCCGCTCCAGACGTAGCCTCTGGATGCGGGCCCGAGCCCGAAATCACCTTCCCGACTGGGGTATCCGAGCGGCCAGAACACGACGACGCCCTCGTGATATCGGCTAGGGTGGCCAACGCGCAGATGAGGAGGATCATGGTCGACACTGGGAGCTCGGCCGATATACTCTACTTCGACGCCTTCCAGAAGCTCGGCTTGGCCAGGGAGAGCATGAGGCCAATGAGTTCAGCGCTCACTGGATTCACAGGAGATTCGATATCACCTCTGGGGGCTATTACTCTGCCCTTAACCCTAGGGGTCCCGCCGAGGTCGAAGACGGTGATGACCGCCTTTTTGGTGGTCGACCTTCCCACGGCTTACAACGCCATACTTGGACGGCCGACCCTCAATAAGGTCAGAGCCGTCGTCTTGACCTACTACCAAACCATTAAGTTCCCGACTCACGCTGGGGTCGGAGAAGTTACGGGAAGCCCCCGAGAGTCCAGGCGGTGCTACCTGACCGCCGTTTCACTACCCAAGAGGACCAGGATCGAGCCGCCGCTGGAAGATCCACGGGAAACGAAAAGGCCGGCTCCTCATCCCAAGCCAAGGGGCTCCACCATGGATATACCATTACAAGAAGCCCGGCTTGACCGGACGGTCAAAGTTGGTTCGGAACTACCCGAACAGGAACGAGAGTGGCTCGTCGGCCTCCTGCGGGAAAATGCTGACATCTTCGCCTGGTCCCCCTCTGACATGACGGGCGTCGATCCAGGAGTTGCACAGCACCACCTCAACATCCCACCTGACGCTCGCCCGGTGAAACAAAGGCCCAGGCGGCAAGCCCCTGACCGGCAGCGTGCCATACGAGAGGAGGTGACCCGTCTCTTAGCAGCAGGCTTCATAGAAGAAGCCAGATATCCTCAATGGCTGTCCAATGTAGTCCTTGTGAAAAAACACAATGGAAGTTGGAGGATGTGCGTTGACTACACTAGTCTCAACAATGAATGCCCGAAAGACTGCTATCCCCTCCCGAGGATTGACCAGCTGGTCGATGCGACGGCCGGACACGCACGCCTCTCTTTCATGGACGCCTATTCGGGATACAACCAGATCAGGATGGCGCCCGAAGACAGGGAGCACACGGCCTTCCTCACTGACCAAGGGGTGTACTTCTATAAGGTCATGCTGCTCGGGTTGAAGAACACCGGGGCCACATACCAGAGAACGGTGAACAAGATGTTCGCCCATCAGATCGGGAGGAACATGGAAGTGTACGTGGACGACATGATCGTGAAAAGCCAAGAGGCCGAAGCACACATTGTCGACCTGACCGAGGCGTTCGCCACGCTGCGCAAGTTCGGTATGCGACTTAACCCCACAAAATGCACCTTCGGTGTCACCTCCGGGAAATTCCTCGGGTTCATCATACATGAAAGAGGAATTGACACCAACCCGGAGAAGGTCCGGGCGATCATCGACATGCAGTCACCTCGGACGATCAAAGACCTGCAGTGACTTAACGGAAGGATTGTTGCCATGTCTCGCTTCCTCGCCCGGTCGGGCGATCGCTGCCTCCCCTTCTTCAGGGCGCTCAAAAACCCGAAAAACTTCCAGTGGATGACGAAGTGCGAGGAAGCTTTCAAACAAATGAAGCAGCGCCCGGCCAACCTCCCCCGACTCGCCTCTATTTCTCCTGGGGAAAAGCTGGGCCTCTATCTAGCGGCCTCCCCCCATGCAGTCAGTTCCATCCTGATCAAAGAGAGCTCTGGCGAACAACTTCCGATCTACTACGTCAGCCACACCCTGAGCGGACCCGAGGGGCGTTACCCGCCGATAGAGAAACTCGCACTCGCCCTGGTGCTGTCAGCTCGGAAGTTGCGCCCCTACTTCTAGGCCCACCCGGTGGAGGTCATCACCAACCAACCCCTTCGGTAGGTTTTATCTAAATTCAATGTTGCAGGACAACTCCTCAAATGGGCAGTGGAGCTCGACGAGCATGATATAAGATACGTGCCCAGGACCGCCGTCAAGGCCCAGGCGGTGGCCGACTTCATCGCGGAGCTAACTCAGGTGACAGACGGGGATCTCGAGCAACCTCCCGAGGCTTGGATCCTACACGTGGATGGCTCGTCCAGCTCAAAGGGCGCCGGCGCGGGACTGGTTCTGCTTGCCCCCGACGGCCGCTCGTTCGAGCGCTCCCTCCGCTTCGGGTTTAAGGCCACTAACAATGAAGCGGAATACGAGGCGCTCCTAGCAGGACTCAGGCTGGCCCTCGAGATGCAGGTGGCTGCTTTACACGTCTTCACTGACTCACAGCTTGTGGCCGAGCAGCTCAGCGTTGGATACGAGGCTCGGGACCCAACCATGGCGAAATACCTAGCGCAGGTCAGGGACCTGACTGCTAAGTTTCCTTATTTCATGTTATCCAATGTTCCGAGGGAGGAGAACGAGCGGGCTGACGCGCTAGCTAAGCTGGCGTCGAAGCTGACCTGCGAAGCACGGTTGGAGGTCGAGGAGCTTCCTGCCCGCGCCATCGAAGTAGCGACTACAGCCCCCGGCAGTGCGCCGATCACATGGGTGCAGGAGCTGCTGCGCTTCAAGCGTAATGGGACCCTCCCCCACGACGAAGTTGCGGCTCGGCGACTGCGTCGTACACATGCGTGGTACACTGAAGAGAGTGGCCGGCTTTATAGGCGGTCCTTCACCTACCCCCTCTTACGATGCTTGGAGCCAGACGATCCTGGCCGAAATCCACGAGGGAGTCTGCGGAGAACACAGCGGTGGGCAAACCTTGGCACACAAAATACTTCGCCAAGGGTACTACTGGCCGACCATGTGCCGGGACGCGAAAGCTTACGTGCAGCGCTGCGGTCCGTACCAAGAACACGCCCGCGCACCCCGACAGCCCGCGGTCCCGCTCAGCCCCATCGCGTGCGCGTGGCCGTTCGCACAGTGGGGATTGGACCTGCTCGGACCTTTCCCACCGGCTTCGGGGCAGCGAAAGTACATCATCGTGGGAGTGGATTATTTCACGAAGTGGGTCGAGGCCGAGCCGTTGGCGACAATCACGGAGCAACAAATGGAGAAGTTCGTGTGGAGAAACCTGGTGACTCGGTTCGGGTTGCCCAAAACCATCATTACGGATAATGGACCTCAGTTCGCCGGTAGGAGGTTCCGGGAGTTCTGTGCCAATCATGGCATCTAGCTAAGGTTCAGCTCAGTGGCCCACCCTCAAACGAACGGGTTGGCAGAGGTAACCAATCGGTCCATCTTGGGCCTGGACCGACGAGCTCCCTAGCGTCCTATGGTCACTACGCACCACTCCGAAGACCGCAACCGGAGAGTCCCCGTACAACCTAACGTTCGGAACCGAAGCTGTCCTGCCACCCAAGGTGGCTATCTCCACTCTTCGGACGAGGAGCTACGACGAGGAAGTCTCGAACGAGGGACTTCGCGCCAGCCTCGACATGCTCGAGGAGCGGCGCGCTGACGCACACCGGAAGGCCCTCTCTTATAAGAGAGCCGTCGCAAGGGTCTACAACAGGAAGGTACGACCCCGACCGATTAAGTTAGGCGACCTGGTCCTCCGAAAGGCCGAGGTCAGCAACCCGACCCGAGCCAGGGGGAAGCTAGCCCCCAAATGGGAAGGACCTTATCGGGTCGTCGAGGTAGTCCGACCGGGTACTTACCGGCTCACGTCAATGGACGGTTCTCCCTTGCCGAGAACTTGGAACGTCGGGAACCTTAAGAAGTTTTTCGTCTGAAACGAAGAAACCTCTTTCGTTTAGAGAAGAAGAATTCTTTTCCGAAGGAAGAAGCTTTTTGCCTAGGAAAAGAAGAAGGAGACAACAAGATGAAAGGAGAAAAGTTTTTCTTTTTATTGAAGAAAGCAAGCCAACTTACAAGACCCGACTTACAAAAACCGGCTAGAAAAACAAAATACAGGACCCTTCTTCATTAGGGCTCCTCCAGGCGATCATCGAAGGGGACCTCCTCGGGCATGTCCACCCCTTGGTCCTCGGGGTGAGGAGCGAAGGGGTCGTCCTCCACCTTTAGACCAGGGTGACGAGCGCGGAAGCGGGACATGGCGATTCGGTATCCATATTCGAAGGATACCCACCCCGTCCGCGTCAGCCCAAGCTCGAACCCCTCCGACTTCTTGTATGCCTCGAGGAGCTCCTTGTCCTTTGTGGGTCGAAGTCGGGCCTCCTCCGCCAGCGCCTCCGAGGTTGCCCTGGCTTCGGCCTTCGCCTCCTCCAGCTTTTTGCTGAGGGTGCTCGCCTCCGCCTTCACCAGGCGGAGCTCGGTCCGCTCCACCCTTATCGTCTTTTGGAGCCCCTCGTTTGCCTTCGTGGAGGCCTCGAGCTCCGACCGGAGGCGCGCCGCCTCCGCTTCAAGATCCGCCGCCCGCTGCTCGGCAGCCGCCATGGCCTCCGGACCAGCTCCGGCTCGAACCTCCTCAACCTGGCGGTGGAGCTCGGCGTCACGCACCCTGTCCATCAGGGCCGTCGCATAATGAAGGACCTGCAGTTGGAAAGAACGGGTTAAAAAGGGGGCAGCGTCAGGCAAACAAGACTAGCCAAAACAAGAGGAGAAGTACTTACCCAGATCAAAGACGGGGCAGACTTGTTGAGCAACGCCTCCGAGGGCAGGACATATAAATCCCGAGCCATGTCGGGATGAAGCGCGCCTCGAAGGAACGTTGCGGTGGGGTCCCCTCCTGCCCACACCCTGTCCCCCCGGGACAAACCGCCCCAGCGGGCGACTAGGGGGTCGCTGGGTCTCCCGGGTGGAGCCTCCCCTACCAGTCGCGTTAGGAACGGCTCCCCGTCCCCGACTGGTAGCCGACACAAGTCACGTACGGAGGTCGGCCGTGGATCCTTCCCAACCGCACGCCGGCTAGGCCCAGCCTCGCCCCGACGGGGGCCTTCCTCAACCCCCTTTGAAGGCGCCGCCTTCGCCTTCTTCCGAGGGCGCCCGGCCTCGACCTCCAGAGGTGCGTCCTTCGTGCCGGGCTGCAAGCCGGTCGGCAACGCTAGAAGAGAAGCCTGTGAGTTGGCCGGAGGTGCTGAAGGAGGGGCTTACGGCGCGCTGTTTCCGAGGAGTGACCGGAGGTTCACCATTTCTGTAAAAGATGAGAAAAGCGTCAGCACCAAAGAAGAACCACACGAATGCCCGAACCAAACGACAACTAACGTACCCAGAGGCATCGGGCTGAGGCTCGCCTCGACCAGCCACTCCTCGGTCATGTTCCGGAGGGCCTGGGACCTGGGGAGAATCCCCCTGAGCCTCCCCAGGTCGAGGTGCTCTGCTTCGCCCAAACATGGGGCGGTGTTGTCGATCGCCCTCGCGGACCAACGAACTCCGAAACCCCAGTCCCGCGCACGACTGACGTAAAAGAACCTCCCCTTCCACCCTTTATTATTAGAGGGGGCCCCTCCAACTCGGAAGCCCTTCCAGGCAGACAAAAAATAACCCCCCGAACCCTTGGTGAGGCGATAACAGGAAAGAAAAAGATGGAGGGTGGGGGCGATATTGGCATAGTGGCATTCCCCCAAGAATACCACCAAGTAACGCCAGGAGTTCGGCGCCACTTGGGATGGCGAAATCCACCAGAAAGATAAGCAGGACACAATGAGGGGGTGCAGGGGGAGGCGCAGACCCGCCTCCAGGGCGTCTAGGGTTAAGGCGAAGCCCTTCGGGACCGGGTCGTACGCCCGTTGTCCCGGTTCAGGTGCGCCAAGAATGTAGTCCCCCGGGATACCATAGCGCTCACGGAGTCCGACCAGTGACGACTCACTCACAGAGGAGTCCTGATCGTGCGGCCACATCAAGGCCTCAAGGGCCCGTGCCACCTTCCCGTCAGAGGACTCAACAAGGGGCGGAAGAGGACTTCCCTCCCTAACTTCGGAGGAATGGATAGAAGAGGAGGAGGGAGAGGACACCATCCTAACTGACCTTAACTGGGGAAGGTGCTACAGGAGAGGAGAGAGACGCTGGAGGCGAGGAGGACGACCGGAAGAAAGACGGCGAGACCGGAAGGAAAAAACTCAACAGTGAAAGATGGAGGTGAAGCCAGGCGCTCGCTATTTAAAGGGGACGTCCCGCCGGAACCAGCGCCCCTTCACCTCCCGAGAGTGGGCGGCAGCCCACTCGCACGCGCGCTTAACCGTTGCGTCGCATCGGAAGATACCCAAAGGCGCTCCGCCTTAATGAAGGCCTGACGTGGCGACCTCGCCAAAACGGCAGCGTCCGAACGCCTCGATCCCGGTGCCCTAAGACGTGCGGCAGAAGCAATCAACTCCCCCTCAGGAGAGAAATTAAATGCGCCAGCTCTTTGATCCCCGCCGCTGTCGAACTGAAGGGAACGCCGCCCGAGACCACACCTGCGCGGTGACCCGCCTACGTCGTGCTCCTCGGCCCTCGGCTGCACGCCACCCGAGACCACACCTGCGCGGTAACCCGCCTGCGTCGTGCTCCTCAGCCCTCGGCTGCACGCCTCCTGAGACTACACCTGCGCGGTAACACGCCTACGTCGTGCTCCTCGGCCCTCTGCACGCCTCCCGAGACCACACCTGCGCGGTAACCCGCCTACGTCATGCTCCTCGACCCTCGACTGCACGCCGCCCGAGACCACACCTGTGTGGTAACCCGCCTGTGTCGTGCTCCTCGACCCTTGGCTGCACGCCTCCCGAGACCACACCTGCGCGGTAACCCGCCTGCGTCGTGCTCCTCGGCCCTCGGCTGCACGCCGCCCGAGACCACACCTGCACGGTAACCTGCCTGCGTCGTGCTCCTCGGCCCTCGGTTGCACGCCTCCCGAGACCACACCTGCGCGGTAACCCGCCTGCGTTGTGCTCCTGGGCCCTCGGCTGCACGTCGCCCAAGACCACACCTGCGCGGTAACCCGCCTGTGTCATGCTCCTCGGCCCTCGGTTGCACGCCCCCCGAGACCACACCTGCGCGGTAACACGCTTGCGTCGTGCTCCTCGGCCCTCGGCTGCACGCCTCCCGAGACCACACTTGCGCGGTAACC